CACCACCGAACAATTGACGGCTATACACCCACCTAAGACCATACCATTCTCTCCCATTGGATCTGTGCCATAGGGGATGCCACGCAAAAGCAAAAGGGACAGGGGGAATGGGACAGAGGCCTACGAGAGAAAGCTCAGTTCGAAGAACTCACTTCCTCAAGGGATAACGATGGCTCAGCAAAAGTAAATCATTGAAAGGTATACATCATGCTGGGGTAGGAGTAGTGAGCCACCGGGTGGGTGAGAGGGACAACAAGAAGCCGCCAGACGAAGCAATGTGCTCCTAGCTGACCCATGAGCGTCTGTCTCTATGAGGACGGAAAGAATTTTGAAGCCCGTAATCGCAATGTGAGTAGTGGAAGGTTAGGAATATCCGTACGGATTACGAGTAAGGCATCTGAGAGGAACTCGGCATTATGAGAAGAGTGGCAGAAAGATAATAACCGACAAATCAAAAACTAGTAAACAGAAGATCTAGAGGGGGATGTTGCCATGCTTTCTCCATGGATTCGTTAGTTTCTTGCTCTCGAGAAGAGCGAGATCTTCGCAAATTCGACGACGCGTGGTACACGGTTGAATGATGTCATCAACGAAACCTAAAACCCACATAGTAGAAAAGGAGAAAAGAAATGAAAGAAAAGCCCTGTACCCCCGTGCTGACTTCCCACTGTCCAACTCACCTCGAACAGCAGCTGGGAAGGGATTACTAAAGAGATCAATGTATTCTTCCTCTCTCTTTGCTACGTCCTTGTCTCCTCTGTACAGAATTGATACAGCACCCTGGAATAAAGTGATATCTAGAGCAGCTAGTAATAGTAGCTAGGCCTGGACAGCACGGCGCAACCATACCTTGGCTCCCATTACAGCTACTTCAGCGGTGGGCCACGCGTAGTTGATATCTCCACGGAGGTGCTTCGATGACATAACATCGTAGGCTCCACCATATGCCTGAAACAAGTGATCCACTAACAGACCGGTATTTTCTCAGCCCACTCATGATCTCACTTTTCTAGTAATAACAGTAATCTTCGGTACAGTCGCTTCAGCGTAAGCATATAAAAGTTTGGCTCCATGACGAATGATACCACCATACTCCTGCGCCGTTCCTGAAAAACTCAACTTTCCTGGTGTTCCGAAAGAATTTTCTTTCAAACTCAGCAGAGAAATTCGCACCTGGCAAGAATCCAGGGACGTCGACCAGAGTGACAAGTGGGATGTTGAAAGCGTCACAGAAGCGAACAAAACGAGCAGATTTAACTGACGCGTTGATATCAAGACATCCTAGAATTGAGGGAATGGCCATCACTATTTATACTGTGCCTTATTTCAACACGTACCAGCAATGAATTTCGGATTGTTGCCTACAATTCCAACTGTGCGTCCGTTCATGCGACCAAAGCCGACGACGATGTTCTGAAGATCATGAATTTCCGAACTGGTTTACACATGACTGTTTCCCAACATACCTTTGCATACTCGGGCGCAATCTCGAAAAAGTCGCCTTCATCTATCAAAGCGTATATAACGTCCTTCATGTTATATGCAGCAGTACTCTCGAGTGGTACAACGGTATCAAGTGATACACAATCACGATCCCTGACGAGTTCAATGAATGAACAACACAGCACCCATGTAGCCGGTACAGAGGGTAGAATGGGATGCTGGAAATGGGCGACGGTGCAGCCGATCCAAAGGTGCTCCCCTCATTGGTGGTCTGCCCATCTGGGAGCGATCCTAGACTCATGTCCAACCAATGAGGAGCCACCACGCTACAACTGGCTACACCAATAATTTGTGGGGAAACCTGCACACCCACTTATATGACCATCGAACATTACCATGGATCTTCGCAAGATCGAATGGGCGCTAGGTCCTTATTGGATAGTGGGAGATAGTTCATGAGCTCACGCATGCTCATCAATGCATCCACATCATTGTCGTAAGCGCCAACAGCCACACCTTTAACAGCTCCAATAGTATAACTTGAGATCAGCTTCAAATAGAACTTTTTACCAGATGTTACGGTGTGGGTCATTGCTCCACCGAGCTGCTCTTGAGTCACTTCCTCATTAGTAACAGCCTTGACGACGTCGGGACCGGTGATGAAAAGATAACTCGTGTCGCGAACCATGAACGTAAAGTCGGTGATTGCCGGTGAGTAGACGGCACCACCGGCACACGGTCCCATGATCAGTGAGATCTGAGGTATGACACCGGACGCCATTACATTAGACTGAAAAGGAAGCACATCAAGTGATCGCTGAATATAGCAACACCTAAGGGTCCGTACCTGGAAAATATCGGCATATCCAGCAAGTGATTCAACACCTTCTTGAATACGTGCACCACCAGAATCATTGAGACCGATGACGGGAGCTCCGACAAGCATCGCCTCCTGCAACATCCCTTCTCTTGAACCTAATCACGCTACAAATGAGACGACTTCCCCTTACCCTCATGATTTTACAGATCTTCTTAGCATGGATCGACGACAACGAGCCGCCGAAAACGGTAAAGTCCTGCGAGAAGACGTACACGTTGCGACCATTGATGTGACCGCGTCCAGTAACCACAGAATCGCAGGGGAACTGAAACATTCTGGTCTGCTTTTGACACGCAAGAGCCATCTTTACAAGGGTACTGACTTTCTGCTTCTGCATGTTGAAGTCGGTACACGTATGTTCGGCAAACATGTCGTACTCGCGGAAGGTGTCCTTGTCCAAGAGCAATTCGATCCGTTCACGAGCAGTCAGCTTTCCCTGAACATTCCGAGGATGAAAACGACGTAGACTACCCAGTTAGGGTTACTTAATCGTCAACCTACTCGCTTATGTTGCGTATCAATCCTCTTCTGTCCACCACCGAGTAAAGCCTTCGCTCGTGTCTTCTCAATATGATCGGCCACTTTCACCGTGTGCGCGATTGAGCTTGCCATACGAGCGACCTGAAAGAGACCTCACTTTTGTATGGAGACCTTACTGGTACATCTTTATAGTAATACTATAAGGTGTTTCGGAAAGTTCTGTCGTTTTTGGATGGTCTACTTTTAGACGTTCTTTTCTGATGAGTTATTTTTCGTTGCTCTGCTGTAATATAGCATACCATTTAAAAGCGCATTTCTTGCTCTTCCTGAGTGGTGCATCAGCTCTGCCTCATAGTGACTTCCTAATTTTTTTAAAAGCTTGAAAAAATATGGACAAACGACAAGTTCGCACCATCTTCCTTTTCCAATCCAAACAAGGCAGGAATGCAGCGGACACGGTTCGAGATATCAACATAGCGTTTGGTCCTGGAGCAGCAAATGTACGTACTGCACAGCGATGGTTTGAGAAATTCCGTAATGGCGACGAAAGTCCCGAAAACTATGATGATGGTAGTTTGGTGGTCAACGGCTGGTTTAATTCATCATAGCTTTTCGAATCAGGGCGAAACTATCACAGCTGAAAGTTACTGCCAGGATATCGACGAAAAGCACCAAAAGCTGCAGCTCATGAGCCCTGGATTGGTGAACAGGAAGAAGCCGATTCTTCTACACGACAACGCGTGCTCCCATGTCGCACAGACCACCCTAAAAAAATTGTACGAGCTTGGCTATGAAACTCTGCCACACCCACCGTACACAACTGTCCTCGCTCCAGCCGACTACTACTTTTTTAAGCATCTCGAGAACTTCCTCCGAATAACGCTTAAACAATCGACATGATGTCGAAACGAACTTCCTCGAATTAATCGCTTCTAGGTCTCCAGAGTATGTACTATGCAACCGGGATAGGCAAACTTGCTACTTGTTGGCAAAAGTGTGTACATAATAACGGTTTTTATTTCGATTGCTAAAGTTTTGCTTGAGCCAAGATATGTGCATTGAAGGTTAAGCGTTGAAAAACGACAGAACTTTCTGGTACGCCTAATGTTTAGTATTTACCTTCTGCACACCATAACTGTAGCCAAGCAGTGGATTAGCGAACCTTGAGACGAGCATGATCGAATTGTCTAAACGGATTATTAAGCAATTTGTAATAATAACATGTTATTAATAGTCAAATGTGATGTAAGTATGGAAGATGAGCT